ATATGTAAGTTTCATGAATCGCGTTCATTGCGGCCAAAGTGAATTTTGCGATCAAAGATATAAAAACTGCCATTTTTAGAGAATATATTGAAACATGGTATGGTTTTGAGATTTACGTAGCGTTTGTGTGACGTTTTGGCGCCATTTTACATCCGTGATCAGATAGACCTGATCGTGTACAAAATATATCAACACTATATTTCTGAAGGTATCATTGTTTATTTTTGACGAATTTACTAGGGCGATAGTGGTAACAACCGTATTTTCTTCTTTGTTAATTATAATACAACAACTGTTTGTTGCAACTTGAATGATTGTCTAAGGAGAAAATAGCATTTTATAGCAGAAGTCGATATTTACGAACTACTCTCGCCCATCATCTTGTGGTTTTTATTTTAAACCAAAAAGAAGTTTTAAGTATCTTTTTCTTAGTAAGATTGTCCTGTATTTTAGTTATGTTTTCTGAATATATCTTCACACATATGCCTGCGTGTTCTAAATTTACGTTCTGTATGAGCAAGTATATTTTTCTTTTCCCCCTTTTTGAAAAAAAATACCAGCAGATATACTAAGTTTTATCATACTTTTAAACAAATGCGTTTAATTTTAGAAATCCCAATGTTTTTGGCCCGTCCATTGCTGTCCCTTTAGCTTATTTCCTTAAGTTGAATTTCTTTCTTGAGCATATGATCAATTGAAAGTAAAGTAGATTTTTTTTCTTTGCAAGAATTTTTTACGAATATTCATTAAAGCCTCTATGTGCTTAACTCTCTATAAGAAAAAAAATCATTGGAAAAAAAAAACGCATAAAAAAGGCAAGCATTATCATGAAATCAATTCAGGCAGTTATGATTCTATTTGTGACATACACAGTATATTTTAGTCTGCGGAGATATATATTTATGAAGAAAAAAAAATTCTGTCTGAATTTTCGAAGTACGGGGTGGTAAAATCCATTACTTTTATTTTCTAAAACCTGAAAAATCATGTCGGCAGATTCGTAAACCGAAAGATATAATATTAAAACTGTCCTTACGTTAAAAAAAATTATTCAAATTTCATTAATTTGGACAGATGCGTGTGCTCCATTATAAGTACATACTTTGTTCATGCCGGGTGCTACTGTGACACCCCCCCCCCCCCCCCGTTCACATCCCTGAAATGAAGATTTAGAGTTTAGCAACACCACCCCTCTGTGACACATTGAGCCAAATTTATTTAGAATTTTTAAGACATATAATTTGACCACCATTCAAATGGTCTTGATAGTGACCTACACAATATTCCGACGGGTTGTGACCATAATGAACTGTAAAATTTGCAACGTTTTATTAAAGATAACAGTCGCGTTCCAAAAATATATATAAAGCATTTTATGCCCCCGTAAACGAAGTGTCGGGAGGTATATAGTTCAGGGGCGGATACAGGATTTGTGGTTAGGGGGGGGGGGCGTGGATAACTTTGTGGAGGCAAGGGGTCTGGGGCCGCCTTAAGGCCCCCAGTGGATCCATGGCAAAGCCCTTGTGGGGGCCCAGGGGGCGAAGCCCCCGGAAGCTCCTGGGTTTTCGTGTATTTTAGAGTAAAACCAGGCACTAAAATAGTGCACATTTTTCAATTTTTTTTTAAAGTGGCATATAGGTTCGGATTTTTGAATGATAATATTGTATTGAATGTTTCTCAGTTGTCATTGTATTGTAACACATGCCACCATAATAAACGATTTACCTACTTAGTACTTACTAATAGTGGTATTGGTTAGTGATGTACCAAAGTACGCCGTGTTTAATACTATTTATATCATACTTTGAATGGGGGGACCAGGGGGCGCAGCCCCCGGAAGCTCCTGGATTTTTGTGTATTTTAAGAGTAAAACCAGGCAGAATAACAGTGGTTTGGTACGTTTTGTACCAAAATGTGGCATTATAAATATTAGTCACATCATACTTTGAAAATTTTAGGGGGGGGTGCGCCCCCACGCCCCCCTTAAATCCGCCAGTGTAGTTTTGTCGTGTCCGTCCGTCTGTCTAGCTGTCTGTCTGCCTCTCTGTTTGTCCGCAAAAACTTTAACATTGCCCATAACTTTTGATTTAATGGAGCTACGAATTTAATATTTCACATGTGTATTCTTTGTGACAAGACCTCTTTTTAGGTACCACCAAATTTGACCTTTGACATTTACCTTGACCTAAGACTTTGACATTTTTACACAAAAATTCAAGATTTTTACTTTGACCTTATCTTTTGAACAGTAGATACCAAGGCATTTATACTTCATATATGTATTATTTGTTGAAAGACCTTTCATTGAATACCAAAAACCTTTACCCATGACCTTGACCTTGAAGATTTTCATACTTGTGAAAAATCTTTAACCTTGGCCATAACTTTCCAACGGTAAGAGATAAGGTTCTCATACTTCACATATGTAATCCTTGTGAAAAGACCCTGCATTAGATACCAAGAACTTTGACCTTGGCCTTAGGATTTAACCTACTCTTAAAAAGCAAACCTTTACCATAAATTTTAAAGGGTTATGGTTAGTGCTTTCATATTCTATATGATCCTTGTGACAAAACCTTTCATTAGATAGCAAGACTTTTGACCTTGACTCTGGAGTTTGACCTACTTTTAAAAATTTTAAATCTTGGCCATAACTCCTGAACGTTTAGGGCTAGAGCTTCCATTCTTTACATATGTATTTTATGTGGCAAGACCTTTCATTGGATACCAATGGCCTTGGCCTTGAAGATTTCCGAACTAATTAAAAAATCTTGGCTAACTTTCAAATTTCACAACTGCATTCCCAGTTAGTACCAATATATACAATTCGTGTTATAGAAAAGTTTAATTTTCAATTTTTTTTTTATATTTTAGGTTCTGACATGTCTGCGTTTCTTAGCCAAAGGAGACTATCTCTCAGAAACGACGGACATCCATGGAATTTCCAAAGCCTCTGGGTGTTTGATCGTACATCGTGTAGTTGATGCCATATGCAGAAATTTGAACAACATCCAATTCCCAACAAGAAAGGAACAGTTAACAAGCATCAAGTCCTCGTTTTACAAGATTGCTGGGTTTCCCAATGTCGTGGGTGCAATTGACGGGACTCAAATACCTATACAAGGCATGGCAACAGATGACGAACATCTATACGTGTGCAGAAAGGGCTTTCACGCTATCAATGTTCAAGCAGTTGTTGACACAGATTTAAGGTTTGCATTGAAATTTTTATGCGCAATGGTCGATAGATCGAGGACGCATATTTTTTTTGTCCTGTCTGTATATTTGTCTGCAAACTTTTACCTTCGATACAATTTTTGACCCATGAAAAATAGAGACTTCATATAGATATTTAATATGCATACTCCACTGATTAAGCTCTTTCAACTGAAACGAAGTTCACTGACATTTTGACTTTGACCTATATGCTGAAAATAGTGAAACTTCGACATCAATTTGGAGACTTCATATTAAGTATGCTTACTCCACTAGTTGAGTTTTTTCTAATGACACCAAGGTCAATGTTCTCATGACCTAGACCTATATACTAAAAATAGCTTTTTCCCCCTTTTTTGCCACCGGGCCTATAGTGTTTCACAAACACATCTTGTATTTCAAATAATTAATAACCTACTCTAGGAATATTTATAACTGAATTACCTCAAAGGAAATACTTGTTAAACTCATTTTCAAAACAATCAATTTTCAGATTTACTAACGCAGTCTGCAAATTCCCCGGTTCAACCCATGACGCATACATTCTACAAAATAGCTTCTTGCCTAACCTAATGGTTAGTCTTCAGGACGGAGGATGGCTGATTGGTGATTAAAAATATCCCCTGAAAGAATGGCTTATGACACCTATCAGCAACCCCAGGGGCGGACAAGAGGAACGCTACAACTCGGCTCACTGCCGTACCAGAAATGTCATAGAGAGGGCATTTGGTGTGCTGAAAGCTCGTTTCAGGACTATTTCACTTTCACTTCTCACACTTAAATTAGGCAAGTTTTTGCTTCATGGTGAATTAAATATTCTTCAAAGTAAAAATGTGTTTATTGAAAGGAAAAATCTTAAACTATTTACCAACAGGTGTTTGCATAAAACTGGAGGGTCCTTGCCTTATAAACCAGAAAAGTGCGCCAAAATTATTGAATGCACTATGAGGCTACATAACCTGGCCATAAATGAAAAGGTGCCACTCATGGTGGAGACTGAGGTTGACGATCTTGGCAGGCAATCTTTTGCTCCAGTTTTTCCCACCAATGTTGCAGCAGCAACTCTACGAGAGAGACTCGTACAAAGATTTTAAAGAGGTATTTTCAATTCAAAATTGCTAGACAACAGACTTTATTAAGTTGACAAATGTTAGATACTTAGTAATTAAACATGTACATTTACATTTAAATCTAAACAACATAATTAATTCAGCAAAAAGTCTTTCAAACACAATCATATTTAACAAACTAAAATTTCAAAGAGGTATCTTATTTCTCTGACACAAATTTTGAGAGGGGGGTATATCTTTATGAGGTGAATGACAAAGTGATACTTAAAATTTCAGTACTATTACTAAATATTTGAAAGCAATGATGATGAAAATAATGTTTTGTACAAATAACATAACTGATAATAGATGTATGAAATTCATGGTTTCTCTGCAATGTACTACTATCTAACAACAAGGCTCACATACTTCTTACCCTATATAATGACAAAGGTTGAAGATAAAAAATAAAGCAGTTCTGAGTTCTGATCTCAAAAGTCTTATCAACTAGACCCTACAATTTGAATTCATTAATTTGAATTCATGAATTTAACAGTAATCATAATAATACATTTTTAGGAGATATCAATAAATGCCTTTTCTTACAAATTTTCAACACTTTTATTTAGTTTGTGAGTAAAATGTCAAGAGTTTACACATCGATAAATTTTTCAAAAAGAACGTTTAATCCTATAATATCATAACATGGATATTTTATTTAATCCTATAATATCATAACATGGATATTTTGATATTTACTTGATGAGTTCATAGGTATACAGTACACAAATTATTTAATATTTCTTTAACATCACTCATGAATTTTAATAAAAGTAATAAGGTATCATTTTGAAACATTTACAGTATTGTAAACTATATGGGTTTGTATGTGAGAAGTCTTCCATAAACTTTTCCCGGTTTCTAGGATTTGATCACATGGCCAATCCGTATTTACATCCTAATGCAAGTTGAACAGGAGGCCCATGGGACACAATGTTCAAAGTTGAATATACACTGTGTAATGATCGACACTAAGGTTCATTGAGCCGTGAGGGATCTTTTTGGTACCCCAAAATTTTCACTAATTCTCAAAATATAAACATTTGCAGTATCTCTCCATTATTATATAAAAACATACAATTTTGTCAGAGGTCAAAGGTCAATACCTGACTTAATCACACGGCGCAATGATCTCTAACGGAGCATTAAATATAAAATAAGTTGCTTTACTTGCTTGTCATGTATGAAAAAGAACAAGAAGTTAAATAATAATTTTATACACATTGTACACATTCAAGTATTTACCAGTAATTACAGTTTTTTGGCTATCGATTTAACCTGGGTACAAGTAGAGAGTGTACACATGAAAACTAGCATTTATTTACAAGCTTTATGTCTCTTTTGTCAGTTGCACAGACTCTAACATTTATCCTTATTTTTGGGGTAGACTTCAAGTTAAAATTCCATGAAATAATTTTCTTTTAAATTATATTCACAATAAATGTGTAAATCTGTTGGAAAATATCAAAGCATTGCAATCACGCCACAAACGGCTGACAAACACTTCGGTGTTGTCGTAATAATAATTAAGTTGTTACCGGCGTTTTCATAATAAATATGCCTTTATTTATTGAAATCGTGGACTGAATGTTTCTGATCAAATTCAATTGATTGCAAATTAATGGACTCAAAATGATACCTATTTCCTAATATAACATTTGCTTAGTTGTGTATATACAGGCATGTATTAAGAGAATTTGATCACTGGAGATAATGAAAAGGGTTGAGAACTTCCTGACTGTTGCATCGAGGCATTAATTGATTCTACAGCACTAGTGCTTCTTCTTTGTAGTTCAAGCATTTCCTCCAGAATCTTAATCTTCTTTGCTCTATATTCCTCTACCTTTGCCTGCTTCTTTTTTTTCCATTTCTAATAATAACTTGGATACCGGTACTTCACTTTCTATAAAAGCAAAGTTAAAAAAAATATGAAAATATTTTTTTTCTTTTGAATTCAAAGGAAATGGCTGGCCTAATGTGAAAAAAAAATCATTTAAGGCCATAAAAAACATATTATTAAATTCTTATCCCTGCCCACCCATCATCCTTTTTTTTTTTACCTTGCCTTGCTTTTTTTATTTCTGTTTTCCTTAGTTTTATTTCTGATCAAGAATGGTATTGCATCTACCATTCTACTTTCATTTTATTAAAAATAAAATCAAATATATGCAAAAGTGAGAAAAATATGAAATAAAAGGTGCCCAGCTCAAGAGTAGCAAAGCCATTATTGCTCATATTTATATGGAAGCATCCTCAGGTAGTGTAGATTCAAGTTTCTTTAAATCATGACCCCTGGGGATAGGGCGGGGCCACAATGGCTGACCAAAGTTTTATATAGAAATATATAGGAAAATTCTTAAAAAATCTTCTTCTCAGAACAGCAAAACAATAATTGTTCATATTTATATTGATGCATCCTCAGGTAGTGTAGATTCAAGTTTGTTCAAATCATGCCCCCTGGGGTAGGATAGGGCCAAACTTTTTTGGATTTAAACTTTTCATAGTAAACCAATTTCTACTTTTTCCTAACCATGATGCTCGGGTGAGCGATGTGGCCCATGGGCCTCTTGTTAAATTTATCCCACGTAATTCAGCTTTAATTAAATTTAATTGATACCTTGTCTTGGTGCCCTTGCCTGCTTCTTCCGATTCTCCACGGATCTACTGCATTCTTCTGTAATTCAATTAGTAATATAAGGACTATTATTATCCAAGAAAAAAAAAATCAATCTGGATTAAGCATATTGTTATTTTTGAAAATGTTGTCAATCAAAAGTTCTATAATGAGATTAATGTGATTTAATTTGTTTTGTTCCTTTTTCAGCTACTGGAGATTATCATGGAGAGCCAAATGTGTCATGTAAATGGGCGATTATTAAGCAAACTGAACAAGATTTGTGATTCCTAGTCATGATTACATGTATTTTCACCTTTAAATATTAGTTAGACTTTTGATAAATACTGATCATCAAAATCTACAATTATTGATTGTTTTTTAATGAACTTACTCTCAGCATTCATGTCTGCATTATACATAAAGCTCACGTCTGAAAAAGAAAATGTTGAATACTCTTGAATTATTGGTTGAATATGCACAAAATCATGCTTACAAGTAATTGTTTTTAATGTATATTTGGTATATTTCATTATATTAGTGTGGAATCTAAGTTACCTTGTGTTAGGGGATCAACAAATTGTTGTGAATTAGAAGTACATGGTATGGTAGCTGACTGGCTGATGTCAGATGAAGGTATCAGTGTTAGTTGCGATGCTGTATGGCTCAGATCAGATGACGTTACTGGGGATGGTGCAGTTACTGAAAATGTTAAATATTTGTTACTTTTTCTTCATGCTTAAATAACTACTGGAGTAAAGAATTTTGAAGATGATTTTCGTTTGTATTTTTTTTCCTGGACAGATCGAAGGCAATATTATTACCAAATGTATGATCTCTAATGATTTGTCATTGAATTTGGGAATAACTATCTTCTACTTTGGTATTTGCTTTCATTAATGCTGATTTAATGTTCGCAAACAGGGATGTTTACGAAAATTAATTCAGCATTAACGATTGCAAATACCACATTAGAAAAGAGTTATTCCCAATCTACTGCAACATATACGAGGGTTGATCCAAAAGTTCGTGGAATTTCTTCATATTTCATTTATTTTTCAGTGAAATCGGATGAAAATTACAAAGGAAAATATAGACACTTGATGAAAATTTTAAATTAAAAAAGATTTTAAATATCTTTGATAGTAACTTTATGGCAGTTGCCATAGAAACGGTTGTTTGGAAATGCGGGGGAGACATTAACGCGTTTATTATCATTTAAATTCTTAATTCGTGAAATAAGAATTAAACCTCGCTATGTGGTATATAAAAGGAAAATTATGTCATTATTACGATTGCCTGATATTTTTTAAACCTTTGTGAGAGTTTTACTGATTTTACTGGATATCTAGTTTATAAGTTGATAATTTATTGCTCATCTTTAAGTTGTTAGTTAACGTCAAAATTTGGTCAAGTGACACGTTTTTTTGAAAGTCCCGGGGTCACTCGATCGTAAACGCGTATATTATAGACATAGGCTTGGGAAAAATGCATCTATTTACTGGTTTTCCAGTGGCATAAGAAATTTAAGAAAAATAAAACTTCCATGGACATTAATAAAAAGTGTGGTCGCTTTTTAGAGGCTCTGTTTAAGCACGTATCCCCCTAGACAAATTTAAAGCGTTAATGGACGTTGTCGGCTGCCGTTCTGATCTTGACATTGCTACTTAAATTGGAATCTCATATGGAAAGATGAGTAGTATTTTGAAATATGAGTAAAAAATGAAGATACGTTGGTGCGAGAGGATACCCAGGCTTTTCTTGAGAAAAAAAAAATGGAGAAAAAGACAGTATTTTGTAGAATTACGTATGATAATTGGACATTTGGGCGACATGCTTCTATAACGTGACGTGACATCTCTAACTTGACGTTACGTCGAAGTCTCCCCCGGGTTTCCCTACTATCCAATTTTGGAAAGCTCGCGTGGCCTTATTGGTGACTGGAAAGTGGTGAAATTTTCCAATATTGTTGCATTATGACTCTATATTATGAATATGCCTATTGATTGATTTCATCAAATCACAATAAAATTTTAGAAAGAAATTCCACAAACTTTTGGATCAACCCTCGTACATATGCATTTTGTTTGTTGTTTACATCTTATTTTGATGAGTTTTGTTTAATGAAATATGCAATTTGTTTTTGCATCACTCAATGCTCATTTCACTGCTTCAAACATCAGTGCATTAGCCAATCAAAACAATTGTTATACAAAATTATTGCATCAGAATATGATTTGAATCAATAAGGCCAAAATAGAATTATTGTTTGTTTGAAATCGCTTCCACCTTCATTGACAGACCATCTTAAAAAAAAAAATAAAAGAGGGCATTGGGCAACATCGCTCACCTGAGTAACTTTGGTGATGCAGTTTTTTTTACCAAAATCCTGCTCTGGCTATACCTATCATGCCCAATACCCCCTTCCCTTTTATGATTTTAAAACTTTAGAATCTACACTACACAAGGATGCTTCCACATAAGTTTCAGCTTTCCTGGGGCAGTGGCTCTTGAGAAGAAGATTTTTTAGTGGCCCAACCCTATTTTTGTCTTTTCTTGATTATCTCCCCTTGTAAGGGGACTTGGCCCTTCATTTTAAGAATTTAAACTCCCCTTCACCCGAGCATGCTTTGTAACAAAGTTGGTTAAAATTGGCCCCTAAAAATGAACTAACAAAAGGGTCGGGGTTCATGGTTGATGGGAGATACCCTGTACAAAACGGCAGAAAATGTTTTGTTACTGTTAATTGAGATTTTATTCATGTTTATCAACAATGTTCCATTAAACTTCAATTCTGAAAAAAAAATAATTTCCCTCCCTCCTGGGCCTGAAATCTCTAAGACAGCAATTTCAAACATACAACTCTTTGAGGATGACCTTATTTTGCTCAATATTCAAGTAAAAGTATAATATTCAAACATACTACACTCTGCTGTATCCACCCCAGAGCGTATTCCCTCTATGGCAATGTCTGAGAGAGTCTGTAATACCTGTAAAAATATGCAAAAGGATTTAGACAGATTGTAAAAGGGGGCATTGTCAGACTTAAATCCTTATTTTCAGATCATTTTATTGTTCATTATTTATTTACATAGGATATTATGAATACAATAATTTCATGAGCTAATAAATTATTCACAAACCGAGTTTTACCAGCAATGCGTAAGTGACCATTACATGAGCATTAACAGTTGCAAATACTAAATTAGAAGATAATTATTCCCATTCTAATGCAATCTATGCATTTTGTTTGTAATTTAATTCTTCTTTCATTAAGTTTTGTTACATGAAATTAGCAATTAAACATTCAACAGACTATATTCTATTTTTAAATAAAATTTGTGCCAAGTTACCACTTTCTCCCACTCCTTAAAGTAAAACTAGCTCAGTTGACCATGCTGCCTTGCCTTCAGTCTTGTAATAATAACAAAGGAACATAGAAATAAATTAATTATGGCAACAAATATTATTAAAAAATTAACTATGCATGTCGAGTGAATAGTCGAATACTGCAAAAAATCTATAGTGTGGTTCCAGTTACAAGTTAAAAAAAACATAGGGTAGGTAGGTAGGTAATTTAATTTATTTTTTTTTATGACAAAATCAATTTCTAAAATTTTCTAATTACTCAAGCCCTACATCTTAAACAATGCTAGGTCATCGATTTACTGAGTTTTAAAACACAAAAATATATTATTTTGGTAGATAAAATATTTCTAGACACAAAAATGAAGCTTATCTTGAAAATGTCTCTATATTCATAGATATTAAGTGTTAAATCTCGGATTCTATTCTATGGCCAATGAACAACGAGTGAAGCTCCGCAGCCGCAACAGTTTTTATACAGAGATTTCGCACTTTCCCTTGCATAGGAATCTCAGGTAACTTTCAGTTGCCACATTTCGGTTGCCCACAAAGCATCCTTGGATGAGTCCAATGGCGACTCGGAAAGGTGACGCAGGTTACTCCATTGTTAAAAAATTCTACAATGTATGGCCACAAAATGTATGGTTCGAAATTGATAAACTGATATAGCTTCTTACTTTCCTGCAAATGATGTGTACTTTGAGCGACAATAAAATAATAGCATAAGATAAACTTAATATTAATTAATGACACTTCCTTCCTAACTTTCTACAGCTTGCGTATTTCTGACGTTTTGTCAGAATATACTTGTTTTTTTTTTTTTTATACGGGTAGTACCTATCAACGCTCTACAATTGGGATTCATATGTGGAGCGGAATACTACTGTTACTTTCTATACATGTACAAATCAAAATTGCTGGGGGAACTTACTTATATAAAATATCTCAATTTTCTTTTTTTTTCCTCATCAACTTTTTCTCTTAACTTTCAGTCTTTCACTTTAAAAGATCTTAATAGCGAGCGCAGTGAGCGTCGCGAAGCGACGCTCGTCACTGCGAGCTCTTAAAGCAACGCCTGTGCGAAGAGAAAATTCGGACTACTGCACATTCATCCGATAGAATTTTTTGATGCCGTTATTTGGACCCACAATGCATCACTTGTTTAAGCTACGTTAAAGCTACGTTCTCGTGAGAATAGTAGCAAAAGTTCTACTAATGCCCTGTTCACACGGAGAGTTTAATTCGAATTAAACGTAAGTTTACTGCGAATTAGCTTCGCTTAGCGTTCACACGGAGAATTTAATGCGAATTAGTTTACTTCGCATTAGTTTACTGCGCATTAAATTACTTCGCATTAGCTCCGTGTGAACGCTAAGCGAAGCTAATTCGAATTAAATTTTGGGGCATGCGTAATGGCAAAATTAAGTCAAATGCGTCATGTCGGTGGTCAGCTTTAAGTATTTGTGCTATTTTTGAGTGAAAAACTAAGAAAAAATGTGTTAATCACTAAAATATGTCTACAGACACTGTGACATTATGTCAAATGTATCTGCTTCTGCATAAGGTGACGTGATTTGCAAATGACGTCATAATAGCCTTCCTCACGCCTGACTGTCGAAGTAAAATTTTAATTCGCATTAGTTTACTTCGCATTAGCTGTCGTGTGAACGCAATTTAATTCGCATTATTTTGATTCGCATTAGTTTACTTCGCATTAATTTACTGCGAATTAAACTCTCCGTGTGAACAGGGCATAAAATTAACATGCCAGATTTAATGGATAAATATTGAAGATAAATAGCAAACGAAACGTTCTTCATTTATTTTCAGCACTGTTCAGGGTTCTTTGGGGGAATTGTAACTTACATACAACGTCATGTGACGTCAGAGTCTAGACGCATCAAATGTCACGTGCAGTTTGACATGCGAGCCCGATTTTTAAATTCTAACTAAATAAACATAGATCTGCGCTCGCCACCATAGGCGCTTGGTTACAGGATGGTGTATTTTGTGTATTATGTGTTTTTTATGTGTGCCTGAATACTCTCATTAAAATAAATCTAAAAATTCGCCGAAATTAGCACGTTTTAAAAAATGTCATATTTACTGTATATAAAAAGAGTAAGGGAGCGCCACTCGCCATCTTGAAAATCAGGGGGTGCCTCGGTTCACACTTGATTTTAAACAATATCTACATTTTTCCTACCGGTGTCGGACAAGATCTAGCTTCAAAAATGGTTGAATAACACCTTTCAAACGTCTGCCGATTTTAACTTGCCGTATAAAAATTGCAGTAAACACAAAACATCCTCTATACAATGTACAGACATCGAAAGCAACGTTAGTGTCGATTTCTAACGATGAAAAATGTAGAGGTGCCCCGGAATTACACGGAAAATCTAGACAAAACAAGTTTGGCGCGATTTCCGACCTCTCTAGATTTTCCATGTATTTCAGGGACGCCTCTACATTTTACATAGACGAAATCGCTACTTCCGTTGCTTTCGATAAACAGGCACAAGAATCGAGAACGTTTCGGTTCACTGCTTGTTTAAAACGGCATATGTAGGTCAACAGATGGTAAGGAGTTGTCATTCAACCATTTTTGAAGCTAGATCTTGTCCGACACCGGTAGGAAAAATGTAGATATTGTTTAAAATCAAGTGTGAACCGAGGCACCCCTGGTTTCTAAGATGGCGAGTGGCGCTCCCTTACTCTTTTTATATACAGTAAATATGACATTTTTTAAAACGTGCTTATTTCGGCGAATTTTTAGATTTATTTTAATGAGAGTATTCAGGCACACATAGAAAAACACATAATACACAAAATACACCATCCTGTAACCAAGCGCCTATGCTCGCCACAACGGTCGCACCGTCAACATATTATTTATAAATTATTTAATTTATAAGTTAATCTTCCAACACATTGTGCTACATGTAATTGTTGCATTACCAATGCTGTCAGATCATACTGCTTTCTAATTTATGATTATCCCCTCTCTCCCAGTTATGTTACCTGAATAATCTAACTGTGTCTCAGGACAAGCCCTCACCACACGGGTCCGTAAGACATTTATCATTTTAACGACAGAATATTCTATCTATTGCACAACTGACTAAGCGTATGGTATAGAAACGTTTTGCATGGAGGCTGCCATTGCAAAAACTAATATCGGAGCAATAGACGGGAATCGGAGAAAATTCCGGAAAATACGTGTACACATACCAAATTACACCATGCTCTCACTTTCTTTCTTTTTTTTCTCTCTTTCTCTCTCTACTCTCTCACACACCCTCTCTCTGTCTGTCTCTGCTAGTCTATAGTAAGTGTAATCTTATTCGCAATATTGTACATTATAATCGAGGGTAGGGGTGTTCAGGTATTACATTAGTTTAAAGGTGAAAATGCAGTAAAAAACCAACAACTTGTTGAATTTTAAAAGCAGCTTTTGTGAAACAAAATTTCAAGTCACTGTTTTAAAATATTTCAAAAATATGCATTGTCATACATATATTTTTTCTCGCTTTAACTTGCCAAAAAATTGTTCCTAAAGAATAGAAGTTTTCTGATTCACTCTGGAGTTTCCTTCTACTGAATAAACTTCTCAGGTGAAAAGTACTGTGTATACTTTAGTTATTTTAGATCCGCCTCTAAGAGTTGGTTTAATTTCATGCTTGATTTCATCTATCTCTGACCAATGCGTATAGTCCCACTTCTGGTATCGTGAGTAGTGTTCTCCTAGTCATTTAAAATCCTGAGCAGATACTCGGTAATTGTCAGATGGTTCCAGCTGCCTATGAAGAAGGAATTGTTTCTTTTGGTAAATTTACAAATATTTGTTTGTATTTAACGTTCATATTACTAACCAACGTTGAACACGCATTCTCAAATTATAGTCTCAATTCCGACATCGTTTTAAATAATGTACCGTCTTTTACATGTAAGTAATATAATATTTTTAATTAATTTAATTTTCTGCCATTCATATGAACCATTGTTGGGCGTTGATTAAATTACAACAATTGTTTGTTGTGACTTGAATGATTGTCTTAGGCGAAAATCGCATTTTATAAAAGAAATCGATATTTATGTTACTGTCGCCGATCAAAGTGAACTTTCTATTTTAAACCAAAAAGAAGTTTTAAATCACTTAGATATTGTTTTCTTAGTAAGACTGTCCTATATTTGACTTATATTTTCTGAATATCACACCCTTCACACGTAAGTGCTGCATAGGGGTCTGTATAGCCCAACTGCCAAGAGGGGGGGGGTGTCAGAGATGGGAGGAGTCTCAGATATAGCCCCCTTGCCAAGTCAGAGATGGGAGGAGTCTCAGATATAGCCCCCTTGCCAAGCAAAGGGGGGGGTCATAGATGGGGAGGAGTCTCAGATATAGCCCAATGTGATGATAAGTTGGTCAGATATAGCCCCATACGATGAGTAAAAGGGGGAGGAGAGTCAAATATTAAACCATGAAATATGATTGGTTGGACAGATAAAGCCCAAGAATAATGTGAAAATAGATAGATAGGAGGAGTAAAGACTGTTGGTGTAATATAGCCCCAGCAAATGTATGGTTAAAAACAAAGGGGTGTGGAAAATGTTAAACAGATATAGTCCCAAATGACGATTAGTTGGTCAGATATAGCCCAACAGGATTATGATTGGTTGGACAAATTTAGCCAAAGAATAAAGTAATATTAGACAGAGATTCAAGAGGGGGTGGAGAAGGGGGGGGGGATATAAATAAAAGATATAGCCCCAGAAGATGATTGGTTGTTTAGATATTTAGCCCTAGACGATGAATAATGAAGAAGATTAAATCTAAATATGTATAACACAAGAGGAGGAGTCTACATTTATAAAAGAGGCATGTTTAAATCAAAAGAAAATGACAACATTTAACTCAGAAAATGGCGAAAGATGAAATGCAAAAGTGGTCTAAAAATTGGTATTTTTCTTACAACCTTTCTCCAAGGACAGAAGATACGTTACGTTATAATGACATGGATATGGGTTTTATGTATGAAGGAAATAAGAACTTAAACTACATAATATGGTCTACTTCTAAGATTGATTTTCAAACATTCCGTGTGGAAGGTTATATTCGTTTTAAATATCCAAGACTGAAACGACATGTGCGTAGATTATTTTACTTTCTTTGGTTTGATCCATACGAATTAAAAACGTTTTTTCGTGTATCTGGAACGGAGTATGTAAAAAAAGTTAAACTTGTTGGAAACTTCAAGGAACTGGGTTGTTTCAATGCTTTTTATGTAAAAATTCCAAACTGGGCAGAGTTTACTAGACTCAAAACAGTGCAGCAATGTCCCATTTGTTTGGAAAATAACGCAAAATGTCATTTAAGATGTCTACAATGTCGTCAATATTCTTGTTGTAAACAATGTTTTAAGGGACTTTCCACCACACCAAATCAACAATGTCCTATGTGTCGACATCAGTAATAATTGTTGAGTCATACATGTACCATCATATAAATATTTATATTATCATCAATCTGAAGAAATAAAGAATGATTTTGTGTGTTTTTTTCTCTCCATATTGTCTGTTGGTCCGCACTTTAAACGCCAACTCTACAGTATAAATTATGCATAGAATATACCAATGACTATATAAAACTTGTATCCAATTGCAAGGCATGTCCTTTAGCCTTCAAAACAACAATTTAACGACGTAATGTAAATCGAATGGCTGTTTAGAAGTTTTGGTAAAATTCTATTAACCAGACGTTGTGCGGGGTAATTAACTTACTTGGTGAATTAAAAAGAAAAAGACGGGGACATTCACAATGTACATCCAAAAAGAAAAATCGTGTTGTTCCCTAATTTTTTTTAAAAAAGAAAAGACGAACCGGAATACACACTCATAATACATCTTTTATTATTATATTTTTTCTTATTGTAACTACTAGTATGTAACATAATCAAGTGGAACACATATTTTATCATTTTGTAGGCACTGTATATTTCTTGAAAAAGTCTGAATCTTTAGACATATACATTAAAGTTCTAAATCTGATATAAGTTGTAGACGATCAACAAGACGAAACCATTCTAAAACGCGCAGACTTATACCGTCTTTAGTAGGACACAATTTCCTTCCCATATATGTTGGACAATGAGGATATGGCAACCGAGAATCATAATATGGTGCAGATATAAATCTCCTGAGAGTCACACACTGGAATGGATAATGTACTTGAATATATTTGTCACCTCCCAAGTGTTCCATATAATTAATCTCTTTAGCACCCTCTTGCATTGCTTGCAATGCCTCAGTTGCATACCCAGCGAACAGTGTTAAAGTTGTCCACTGGTTGTTGTTTATTGCAATGCTTTGACTATCCTCATCATAATCCAATTCCCTGATGAAAATTACTTTTCGGTTATCAACATTACAGACTCTTATATCCCTATCATTGCCCAGATTAGCAGAATAGAGTATTTCCATTTTCAACTTTCAACGTTAATTTTATAAAACCTCTCGCAGTTATGGTTTTAATGTGACCGATAACTCCTCCTCTCTCTCTCTCTCTTAAGTTCCTACTCTAAAGCTGACCTTTTCTATGTTATTTTATAAATTTGTAACATACAAATCAACTGTCTCCTCCCACTTTTTTAGGAATGCGAAGTGTCGTCATTTTATTCTTGTATAATTATGCATTGAACACCATCAGCTAAAGGTGGATACTCAAGCAAAAGAAAACATCATCTAATGTTTACATAAATGCATTTTATTCATCTCATATAATATAAATAGATAAAGAATGCTATTTATCTGTCACTTTCTTCTGAAGTACTCTCTTTAAGCGTAGAATCTATTTGTCTCATTGATGTTTTTAAAAGTAACCACTGATTGTGATTTAAATGAATTCCTTCCGCTGTTGCATTATGCCCTGTAAAACGTCGAATATCTATGAACGATTTTTTTTCCTTTGCACAAATAAGCACATAAATGTCTTTGCTCAGTGGAAACCTGCTGCTGAAAGGACACGAAAGTTGTACTGTTGTCATATTTTCGCTCTTCCATTGATAGCAATTTCGAATTTCCAGTGCAGTTGGTGTCTTTCTTCCCTCACGTTCATTCTCCAAAATAACAGTGTTTACGGATAAGAGTGTCATGATTGCAATTATCATACTATAAATTATCACTGCCCCAATATTTCTCTTCCCAGAAACTCTGTCAGACTGGTTTAGTTCTTTCTCACATTCCGTAACCATCAAATTGCTAATTGCTGAAGTAGACTCCATGTTTCTCTCCCCCTCCATTCAATGCAAGTATAAAAACAATTTTTGTATGTTTTTCCTTTTATAGTTTACTTATGTTCACCCAAACACCCCCCAATTGGTTACCCCCATTTATAAACAAACACACACACACACTGTGATACATGTATATACCGGTATATATATTTCTAACTGTTGTGATTTTATTTGCACTTGTTTTCCTACAACTCAATAAAATTTTCAAAATCATTC